TATTATTATTATCTAATATATTATTATTTTATATATTATAATTCTTATATATTATAATTCTTATACATAATTCATTATTTAACAAATTTCTAAAAAAATATAATAAGCTTATATAAAAATAATACTTATAATAAGAATAATACTTATAATAAGAATAACAAAATTAAGTTATAATAAGCTTGTAATTAATATATTAAATAAAAATATATTTATGAAATATTAATAAAAATTTTCAAAAATTCATTATATTAAGAATTTATTATAAGAATTTAAAATATATTAATTTTGAGCTTAACTTTATTATATTAAAAGTTTATTATTTCAGAATTAATTATATTACAATTAAATTTTTTTATAAATATTTAAGATGAATACTTTTACAAAAATAAAAAGGCTAATTATAAATATTCTCGTAGATGCTTAAGTCGAGCCAAGAACAATTATTACTTTTTCATAAATAAATGTTTTTTGAAAATGATAAAATAATGGAATCACGCATTTGAGAATTTCTATTTGTTGCGCATTTATTATTGCCAATTATCACGTGAGCCGACCAATTTTTTCTCCATATAGCTCATCAGTAAAAAATATTTTTTTTGAGTTCGTAATATTCGTGCAGCGTCTCTAGAGCTTCATAATGGGTAAGAGATTTATCTAATGAGCAATCTATTTTAAATCACATCCATCCGTTCTTCATCACATATTTATCTAATTTTTGAAATAATCATAAATATAAATAGCCGTTGGTAAGGTAAAAAAAATCAATTCTTTATATTCTGGACGTGATTTTTGTTGTTACGGAAGGCTTAATTAGTAATCCTTAAATTATATTAGAATAAACGTCTTAGTAAGGGAAAAAAGGGATTAAAAAAGAAAATGTAAGTAGAATTCGCACCGTATCTTTTAAGAATATGTGATAACGAAAAGATCATAATTATCTCCTACATTAATACTTAAAGTAATGGCATATATAAGCTTCATATTTATATATATATAAGGAAAACATGAAAAAGATTAATTAAAATTTGATTCCTCGGGCTGTATTAATTCTATTTTAAATCGAAAACATGAATTAACAATTTCATTAAAATTCAATAGTGTTGATCCCTTTACGCGGAAAGATTGGTACGATGTAAAGGCTCCTTCAATTTTTGAAGTCAGAAACATTGGTAAAACACTGGTCAATCGTACTCAAGGTCTAAGTAAGTAATTTCTCATTTTTAAAAATCATCATAAAATCGGGATTTTTTTTCCATATTTGAATTTCGTTTTTAATCTTGAAATTATCTAGAAAATGCCAACGATGCCTTAAAAGGTCGTGTATTTGAAGTGTCTTTGGGTGATTTAAATAAGGACGAGGAACAATCCTTCAAAAAGATTAAACTACGAGTTGATGAAGTACAAGGAAAAAATCTACTTACAAATTTTCACGGTATGGATTTTACATCTGATAAGCTTCGATCTCTAGTCCGGAAGTGGCAAGTAAGTTTTTTGATATTATTGTTTAATAATAACGTTAATTAAAATAAAATTTGTATATTTTTATATCGATTAATCAATATAATTCCTTACACTTAGTCACTTATCGAAGCACACGTCGACGTAAAAACCACCGACGGCTATTTGCTTCGACTTTTCGCCATTGCATTTACAAAAAGACGTCCAAACCAAATAAAAAAGACAACCTACGCACAATCATCGCAAATCCGTCAAATCCGTAAAAAGATGTTTGAGATTATGACTAATCAAGTGTCAACTGTCGATTTGAAGGCGGCTGTGGCTCTATTCGTTCCTGAGGTTATTGGTCGTGAAATTGAAAAGGCCTGTCAAGGAATTTATCCATTACAATCGGTATGATTATTTTCGAGCTCGTTATTGCTAATCCTTGATTTGGTAGCGCATAAATTTTTTATATATATATATATTAATAATAATTCTCTCACTTTTAAATCCCTTTTTTATTAGGTATTCGTTCGCAAGGTTAAAATTTTAAAAAGTCCCAAGTTTGACGTACAGAAATTGCTTGAGCTTCATAGTGATTCAACTGACACCGGCGCTAAAGTAGGTGGAGGCCGAGGAGAATTTAAAGAACCGGAAATTTTGGCCGAGGTGTAAAAGTTTTGTGATGCTAGATTCCATGAATTAATCCAAACTTTTCTTATCGTTATCGAAAAAAAATTTGCGCAACCGACAATCCCTAGAAAAAAGTAATTCTTTAACTTACCCTGCTAGCCTTACCTTTTCTATAGCTAGTTGTTTTCTGATCCTTTGTATTATATAAATTATGCAAATAAAATATCAAGATTAGTGACGGTTAATCAAGTTTTGATGAAGTTCACACTCCTTATAATATTAATGTTGAATAATATTAGCTAGTATTTTAGATAGAAGCAATATAGTGAATGAACCACTTCAGGATATTGCTGTGGTTAAATAAGAGGGGTATATAAATAGTATTATTATCAACCATAGTATTAGGATAATAGAGAGAGTATTTACAAGGAATATGATGATGAGTTTGACAAACT